TTGACGCATTTTGAGGCTTCAATGGCGCAGTTTTTCACCAAATTCTGCAGAATAATTACGCTTCTTTTAACTTTCAGCACAAAATACTTTCGAATTGTTTTTATACATCTGGAATTTTTTTGTAATTTTTACTCTATTTGGAAGCATTTTGAGGCTTCCTTCGTGATAATTGTAAAATATACTAAGTGAATAAACACGATGTTTTCATTTTAGACTCAACATTAAGAGAGGTAGGTAATCATTCTCGGTGGTGCTCTTTTCCTACCACCCAGAATTTCTCGGGAAGGGGGGGGCAGATGATCCTATTTTCAATTATATGGGGAACCAGCCCCCCTTGGACACCTCTCTCCTTCGTACGCCTATGGGCTGGAGGTAGGTAAAGGACCTGGATGGAACTAGGGGAAGCGGTGCACCGCGTGGGGGACTTGGATCTACCCAGAGGAGAACCACAAAGCAAAGTAAGAATAAATTAAGAAACAGAAGAGAAGTTTAAATTAGTCTAAGGGGTGCACCCACTCTGGAGCTTTGCGTTCCAACGCCCACCCCCCAGGAGCTTTGCGCTTCTAATATGTAAATAAAATACATTTATAAATAAAAATTCCTGGCTAAACTTCATATTGTATCATATTATTCGAATCTATTTCCTTCACTACTCCAATTTTTATACCATGTCTTGGTTTACATCTTGATAATGCAACGTAAAGTTGTCCGTCATACATATTTTCCCTTTGATTATGGTGAAAATCTGGAGCAGAGAGTCAAGAATGATGACACGTAATCTTAGTTTAACGGTGGCTTCTGAGTGGTGCGAGTCAGGGAAGGGAACGCGGTGGAGCCATCTTTGCAGTGTGACACGCCTTTCATCCGGCTAGCGGCAACATGGCTACACCCGTGGTTGAATAGTTATCTCGTTACGCCTGCCGTGAATGAAATGAAATATCGACGCCTGCACGTGGGAAAAAGTGTTCTTACCTCCATGCAACGTTGCACATCTCTACTCATATTTTCTTTTAAATCAATTTTTTCTTTTAAAAAAAAAAAAGCTACACACAGTTATTTGAAGTTTCTTAGGCCTTGTCTCCACGGGACGTTTTCATAGGATTTGTCCCAAGTTCGAATCGCAGGAATGAAACTTCTGGGATTTTTCCCAGTTACCGTCTCCACGGGACGGGGCTCATACAGTCCTGCGACTAGTTTGCGCGGGAAGATAAATTAGTTAAAATCGAGTAGTTAACCGAGATTAAAATAGTAATTGCACACAATTGACAGTTAGACATATTACTTTAACTAAACAAACATGAACAATGTAGTAATGAATGAAATATCGCACAATTCGTTTTCACTTCTTCCTCTCTCAGTGGGTCCTAGGGATACAAGTACCATACTTGGTACTAAATAAAAAATTAAAATATTGAGTTAATCAATATTTTTCCCAACTTCGTAAGTGGGATTTTTCCCTGGGACAAATCTCGTGAAACGGCTCGTGGAGACAAGGCCCGAGAAATTTCCGGAATGATTTAAAAAAAATCATCGAAAATTTCGACGCTATCTCCTCGTTCGTTCTGTTTTCTTTGCATTAAACCAAAATTAATTTTAGGCAAATCGAGTTTCAGAATCGCTGAATCGTTTAAACATCGTCCGAGTTTCTGAATCGTAACAATTTAGATGCATATTTACCCTTTAACTGTGGTAAAAAGCGGGTAGAGACCGTCGAAAGTAATGACGCGTGGTCCTAGTTTTGCGGCGATTTTAGCGTCGCGCAAGCGACAAGAGGGGCGCTCCCTTCCCACGACCGCGCGTGTCGAGTCATCTCGCAGGGCGTTTGGCGCAATGCGAGAAGTATTCATGCGGTCTTGTAGGCGCTAATAAGCGCTTGACGCCGACCGCACTGTTTGGCGCAATGCGTGAAGTATTCCTCCGGTCTTGCAGGCGCTGATATGATTTTGACGACGGCCGCACTGTGTTTGGCGCGATTATTCGCGGAACTCGCGTTAGGATGATCGCGGCATTGAATGATGGCGCATGTTGCGTTTTGACACCTCGTGAGCATGCCAACGTTGCCTCGTTTCTCCCGATTAAATATTTATTCCAAGAAAAGATAGGAAAGTTCTCTATGTTCGCTTTTTCGATCGAATGGCCAATTTAACTAGGTGCGAATTTAAACACTCTGATACATGCTTCTTCACCAGAATTTTACGTAGAAGACGATTCGCGCAACGATAACTACTGAAGTCAACCTCTAGCTACACGATTAACGTTTTCATAGCATATTGGTTACGGGAACTTTGAATTGTCCGGTCGCAAGGAAACAATACCTTACGCGAGTAAAATAGCGCACTACAGCGGTTTTAGCAGACTTCTCAATCGAGCATTGTTTCTTTCCCACACTAGCTGTGTTGGTCAAAGTGTGTACAGCTAGCTATAGCTGAGCGTCACGATTGACATTGCCATATTTTCATAATGCTGAGACTGTCATTGTGACGTTCAGGTTGCAATTTAACCCAAGTAAATTATTATTTCTTCCGTGAGCAAAAAAAGATAAATTTATTCATAGTAAAACGTTATTACCGCGGTTAGGATTTCAATCCCTCCACGTCGAGGGATCGAAATCTTCGTTGCATATTGGTGTTTCGCTTTCAAAAACGCGTTCTACTCCCAAGTGTATCTGCCGCTTTAGATCCATAACCCGCGGTGCACCGCGAGCCTGAGATCGACGGATTGTGGACATTTTTCTGTTTTTTGTCTACTCGTTTTTTTAAATGAGGAAAAAGCTAACATTATAGCTTGGAATAGGTATCGGAGATTCTGCCGAAGGTGAAGAAAAATCAAGATAGTTTTAAATAATTTACGTTGAGTATGGCGTGGAGTCTGCTTCTGCAACCTTACAAAAAGAGATCCGTGGCTTTGCACTTTGGTCATAGCTTTGTTCAAATTTCGTTTAAAAGTTGATCTTCAAACTTCCTGTTATGTGAATGGTTTCTTCGCATAAAATTTTGAAGTACGTACGCTTCCGCCTTAAATCCATAGCCCACGGCAATTTCTACAACGACGAACGCCTTGGGCAGCCGAATTTTCTGCTGACCGAAAATGGAGCGTTTGGAAATAACGAAAAACCACGCGTCTCCCGACGGGACGAACGGGATAACAGATCTTTCAAGGTCCAGTTACACGATCAAATTGAGCCATCAAATTGGGCCTCTCATTGGACGCATCCTCACCTCAGGTCTTTTTCAACCAATCAGAGCTTCAATTTGATGGCTCAATTTGATCGTGTGACTGGACCACTAAAGGGTGCAAGGGCCGCGAAGCCCTCTATTTTTCCGATCATCGAGGGTCCAGGACGGTCAAACCGGTGCCACCCGCGCCGGGAATTTATTACGGGCACTGGAAAATTCGAAAATCTCCGTTAAGCTGGCGTTTCGAGGGTCCACAAAACAGCACCTTTTCACGCCAAAAAAACGATATATTGCCCCTTTAAGAAGTCTAGGTTCCGAGGTTTCGATTTTTCTGATGTTACTGATGAATGTAGCATATTCAATTGAGATGTTGCATATCGACGGTGAAACTACCAAACCACGTATCTCGTTTGCGGTGTTTAAAAATCTACGCTCACATTTTATTTTTTGGAAGTAGACCAAATCAATATCATTCCTTGAAATTTTCACAGAATTTTCTCCGCGCGAAGAGGAAAAATCACAGAAATTTTCAAGACTGGACGTTAAATAGTTTTTCATTTAAAAAATAAAGTATGACAGGAAGTCTGCGACGTCGCAAACCGAGATACGTGGTTTGGTAGTTTCACCGTCGATATGTGAGGAATTTGCGATTTGACTGTTGATTCACATGTAAAAGTTCGCGAGAAACACGGTGGTGCTTCTGGTTTTTTTTCTGAAATCAACTCCCAAGCTCAAAAAAATCGTTCAAGTTGAGGCCAAAATTGTGGGGATATACCACCCTACCCTGAAAGTCCACCTCTACATCAAAACAAACTCTCCATGCAAAGATAGGGAGCAAATACATTAGCAGGGTTGTCGTGTTTTCAGTTTTGGAGTTCCCAAATAAAGTTGCAGCCCTGTCAATGTATTTGCTCCCTATCTGTGCATGGAGAGTTTGGCTTGATGTAGATGTGGATTCTCAGGGTAGAGTGGGATATCCCCTCCATTTCGGCCTCAAGTTGAGAGCTTTTTTTGAACTTGGGAGTTGATTTCAGAGAAAACAAGTGGCACCATCTTGTTTCTCACGAACTTTTACTTCATAATCAACAGTGAAATCGCAAATTCCTCACATATGCAACATCTCCAATGTATTTCGCAAATGGGTGGTTTTTATAGGAGGATTAAAAATAAACAAGTGGTACGGAATAGAACAAAAGAATACGAACTATGCAAAACGATGATCCGGGTATCGGAACTTGGCTGATTTGAAAACGCCTTCAAATGCGGCGTGATACCTCACGCTTTCCGGAGAGTTCAAATAGTTGTATCATCGCGCCGTAAGAATGTGACGGATGATTTAAATAAAAATAGCCTCCATGCACGCTGGCCTTGTCGATTTCCTTTGACATTTTTGCAGTGGTGAATGCATAGTTGAAGTGCGCTCCAGCTAGAATTGTATTCAGCAAATTTGTGGTTATTATAGGAGGATTAAAAATAAACAAAGGGTACGGAATAAAACAAAAGAATACGAACTATGCAAAACGATGATCCGGGTATCGGAACTTGGCTGATTTGAAAACGCCTTCAAATGCGGCGTGATACCTCACGCTTTCCGGAGCGTTCAAATAGTTGTATCATTGCGCCGTAAGAATGTGACGGAAGATTTAAATGGAAATCGCTTGCATGCACGCTGGGCGTGTCGATTTCCTTTGACATTTTTGCAGTGGTGAATACATAGCTGAAGTGCGCTCCTGCTAGAATTGTATATGTATACTTCGGCAAGGCTACCAAGAGACTTGGTTGCATTGCGGCAGAAATCGTGAATGAATAATCAAATAGATAAAGTCGGGTTTCACAGTTTTATTAACTTTCTGGCAAGTACACGACATACCATGAGAGTACAGAGTTCAAATTTTGTTGTAAGTCCTGGCCAGTTAAAAGCATCGAATAAAACAAGAATGTCATCGTGTTAGGTGCTTATACTTTATTTAACAAGGTTTTCTCTCGTCTCGCAAGGGGAAAAACCCCTAATCGTTAAAAAAAATCGTAGCGATGGATACTTAAGCTAAGATTTGCTGAACAAATATCAACGGAAAATTTCATAATTTTTTTTTTTTTTTGTAACACCATACCAACATAACACAGTTTTTATTTAGGATCAAAGTCATTTGCTGGAATTTTGAAACAAAACGGCTCATGATAGTTGGCAGTCGGTCAAAACTGATTTTTTGCTGTTTCAGTAATGATTCGTTAACGGGGAGAATTCGTCGAAAGAGAATAAGTAGATCGTTCCAAGACCAGAAGATACGTGTTTCGATGTCAATAATCTGCAGCGATGAACATGTTGATGGTAGATGAGCAAACGGAAGGGTATGTTTGATCATCTCATTCCCAAGCATTATTTTCTTGGAACAATTTCTTTGATTTGCTATTCGATGCCTTTTGGGGTCTGCCAGATTTTCCGGGTTGCTTTGAATTTGTGGTGAGTCCTGCAATACGACGCGGGAAGATTGAAAAAAATAATTACTAAACTTGCCGCGGGAAAAATAAATATATTAGATAAGTAGATGGGACTTCCGAGATCAAAAGTGCTATGTTCAGGGAGCGATTTACACTCGAGCAACATGCCTTTAGAAGTTGTTTAGGTACATGCCTCATGTGTGAAACACATATAATCAATACAGAAAATCTAGTTATTCAGTCAAGGGAAAATTTTGTCTATTCTTAATTATTATCACAATACATGTTGATTTCCACGAGTGAAGCCTCTGATTTCGATAGTTTTCGGGAAAATGGACGGTATCTATTCAATATGATTTCCTGCTTGTAAAGATTTGAAAAATGCCTTTTTTCAAAACTTCATTTCTGCACTCATGACAATGACAGAAAAAAACGCTATCATTAGAGTGCCAAGCTATTATAGTATAGTCTAGATAAATGCAACATATTCACGGAATTTTCAGAAATTTTAGAGAGAAGCGTAATAAAAACAAAAACAAGGTCAAAATCGTCCGGTTTTTATTGTTTTACAGAGAAATTTTTGGTCGAATCTGTTGGAAAATTTCCGTTAAAATTGGCAGCACTAAGAAAATTCAGTAAAATTTTCGGACGGCTTCGTTGAAAAGTGTCTCTGTAAAATAATAAAATGGCGGCAACAATTTTGGAACCTCGCATGGCGCTTGTGATACTTTGGCCGGAAGGTGACGGTTTTTGTTACCTTGATTTCCATGTAAACACACACAGGAGTAAATGGCCTTAGATGCTAAAGCACCGCTTTAAAATAAACTTATCTTACTACTACTACTATCTTTCTTTATAAACACACAGAGGTGTAAATGGCCTTAGATGCTAAAGCGCCGTATTAAAATAAACTTATCTTACTGCTACTACTACTACTACTACTACTACTACTACTACTACTACTACTACTACTACTACTACCAGTGTTCGAAACTCACTTTTGAGTTTTAGGGGTCAAGTGGCGCATCAAGCGCGATTTTTAGGCGCCATTGAAGATTTTTTAGGGGCCAAATTGACTTATTGCCTCTACATTACGGCGCATTTAGTGAAAAGTTAGATGCGAGATGTTTTCGTAACAGAACTAGTAAGTAGCTGTAACTTGGGGAAGACAAAAACACAAAGGATGAAATCGTGAAGAATAGAGAAAGCTTTCACTTGTACCTAGTGCTGAAAATTTCGAATAATCACCTGATATGAAAATTCAGATTTTTAGGGGGCAGTTTTTAGGGGCCACGTTGGCGCAGAGTCTTCATTCTTTAGGCGCCATGGCGGGTTGGCGCCTGTGAGTTCCGAACACTGACTACTAGGTACTCTCTTTTTTTCTTCTATTCTCGTGTACTTACTAACAGCTCTGAAGGTAAAACGACAGATTTACCTTTGCTTTTGAGTTCTTCGACTCCGTTCTCGTCAAGTTCGTCTTCTTCTTCTTCTTCTTCTTCTTCTTCTTCTTCTTCCTCTTCCACCTCTTCACCATTCTCCGAGGTCTCTCCTTCCTCCTCCTCGGCCGATGTAGCCTCCTCCTCTCCGTCCGTCTCGGCGCTGCCATTTTCCGAGCCCTCCTCCATCTCGGCCGACTCTCCAGTCAGGTTGTTGGAGCTTTTCTCGTCCTCGCCGTCGCCATCTCTGCATCATACCAAGGAAATGGATCGTTAAGGATCGCTATGAATCTTTCTCCGCATCGCAGTTCGGTCCAGACGCTCGAATTTGCGAAGCTATTTCAACAAAGCGGATGTAACTCCGCGAAAAGGTACCTACAACACTTGCATTGCATTCTACAAAAAGGAACCAAGAGCATGACAATGTCGCTAAAATCGTGCGACTTTTTTTACCTTGCGAATATAAACTGAGCATCCAAACAAGTTTTATCTTTACTCCCAATAAACTATTAATTCAATACGAAAACCTTTGTAAATTTAATTCGTGGCATGATTTCAGTAATTCTATTTCAAAGAATGTACTCGTGGCATGATTTCAGTAATTCTATTTCAAGGAATGTACGTTGTACAATCCTAGCAACATAGGAGTGCTTTTGGTTCCTTTTTGCAAAATGCAATCCACTGGAGTGTTCTACCGCAGTTGATCGTCGCATCAACGAATCAGAGCGGACGATCCGTGTGGAATTTGCTGCGTTGACTTCCACGCTTTGAAGACACTCACTTCTAACGAGTTTTTGGGAGATTATTCCTCGCGACTCGGAAAACTTGCAGAAAAACGGTGGAATTCGAGCGTTCCACTGGTCGTTAAAAGAAAGACCTTCGTTCCCCCCCCCC